AGTGTACATGCTAGCACACATAACATTCCTGGGTCTGTTAGAGCTCTCAGAGCGGAAAGAGACTGCAATCATCTGACAAAAAAGCACAACAACAAAACAAATAAAAAGAAAAAAATAAGGGCGTACAATTAGATAAGAATATAATTTTACTATTAAGATTAACAGTTTTGGGCTGAAATTTGAAAAATTGTGGACCGATAGATTCCGATTGTCGTCCGTCTGTTCGTCTGACTGGAATTTGTTTGCTAAGAGAACGGAGTTATAGATGAAAGACGGGACCAGATATAAAATCCGTAGAGGCAAGAGGTCCCGATTACTTAATGGGGACCTCTTGCCTCTACGGTATTTATGTTTTATACACGAACTATCGAGGTGAAACAGGAAATCACACTATTTCAATTCAAAATTTTACCCCGAAATAAGTTAATAGATGACTGGCACGAGTCTTTTGCTAACAGGAAAAGTATACTGTACAGAGGCAAGCCACTACTAATTTGAAATGGAGAGCATATATTTTAAATTAAATAAATTAAAAATATGATTAAAAATTGCAGCCCGGAATTGTGACGATGTCACAATAAATAATTACTCGTTTGTTTTTTTTGTTTGTTAATTTTGATCTATGAAATCGCTATTTTACACCAAAACTGTTTTAGACATTCAGATTGAAATGCGTCCTTACAGTTCCAATCATTTTGGAATTCAATACGCTCTTCCTGGATTTCTTCTGCAACTTCTTCAGCATTAGCGCTAAACGGATTGCGAATTAGTTTTCGGTCAACATTAGCTTCTGTATTGATATATTCTGAGAAGTAACGATTGAATTCATAAGCCAACATTTGCAGATGACTCTTGATGTATGTTTGCACTAATCGTGTCATATTTTTTATTATCAACGAGTGCTTTTAATGTCGCGAATGCAGAATAATTGTCTTCACCAATTTTACCTATCCATAATTCAAGTTTGCAAATTAAGGCACGAAGTTTATCTTCAAAGATAAATATATTTGCAGCACCTTCGAATGTTTGTTTCCGGAATCTTGCAATTGCAAGTTCAATTTATTTAAGTGTGTGAATATATTCACAAGATAAGCCAAATGTATCTGAGATGTCAGATCAGAAAACTGCTCTAGTAAGTCGTTCATTTTTTCCTCACCTAGAAACAACTCAACCTCTCCTCTGAGTAATCTTCCCAGCATGTTACTTTTCGACAACCAACGAACTTCTGTGTGAAAGAAATGGTTCTCATGGTCTGAGCCCATTTCAGTGCACAGTTTTTTAAAAATGCGTGTATTTAAGGCGCTGCTTTTGATAACATTTACCACTTTTATAGCCAATTGCATTGTATTATTAAATTAATGCATTTAGGAAGAGTCTTGGTAGCTAACGCCTGGCGATGTATGATACAATGCGTTGTTAATGGCGAAGGATTCTTTTGTTTTATTAACGTCGCTAGACCGGAACGTGATCTTAACATCGCTGGAGCGCCATCCGTACAGAAACCAATTAGCTTTTCCAACATAATGTTATGTTTCTGAAAATATTCAGTTAGTAGTTCATGACGTCGATACCTTTTTATGTCGTTTCCAATTCCCGCGAAATCAATAATTCTTCCTTGATTATATTGTCGTTATCTAAAAAGCGGACAAATACGAGTAACAATTAGAAATGTTCTCATCATACAGCAAAGCGAAGCATGGCAATTTTTTAATTTTTGAAACAAGTTGCTCCTCGATATCATTTGACATTAGTTCAATTCGAGCTTTTACCATGTTGTTCGATAGAGGCATAGCCTGTTTTTTTTTTTTTGGCTTCTAACCCTAAAACTTCTTCGACAGCTTTGATCAAACAAAGTTTCACGAATGTTTCTCCTATTGTATGAGGCTTTTTTGATTGCTCTATCAATTTCGATATCTCAAACGACGCAACTAATGTTTTCTCCCATGACGCAAATCTTGTACCACTAGGCCCGAGTTTCATTTTTCTTAAATTCTCTAATTTTCCTTTAAAGAATTCTGGTGGTCGGTCAGAGAAATTAGGATGGACTGTTTTTAAGTGGCGTTTTAATTTCGCTCGCTTCAAGGATCGTTCGCTAGAACGGTTGCGCATATAACGCATTGTGGTTTTATTTCTCCATTACGTTCTATCGAAGTAAATCCAAATTTAATGTAACTATTATCATATTTTCTCTTAGGTGTCATTTTCTGAAAATAAAACAAAAATGCAATCGAATATAACAAGCAAAAGCGTAAAAATAATGTATTTTTCATAATAAATTTAATAAATAATGTTATAATAAATAAACTGATAAATATACTTTTACTATTTTTTATTTTTATTTGCATATCGTTATGTAATGTAATTATCTAATTAGGTATTCAACGAAATGTACTGTACCTAACAGTTGTGAACTTTTTGTAATACACACACGTACTGTACATAGGCACACTCACGCCTATATTCCCTTTTGTAGTACCTACTTTTGATTAAAAGAGTTTAACATAGGAAAATGTGAACTTACCTTTTATACATAAATCATATATTGATAAGAATGTTGAGGACTAACGGTCAGTTAAACTACTAATGCGGTCGAAACCACTAAACAGAATCACTGAGCAAGACATAAAAAAGCATGCTATTGACTGACCGGCTCGTGCCATACTGTTACGTCAATCACTTGGCTTCCCCCCAGTCACTATCTCTACTCACCGGCGTGCGGCGCTGCTCCGCCCGGGCGGTGCAGCGCGGGAGCGTAACAAGCTCTTGCGGACCACTGGTTGGGAACCACAGATCTAGACAAACAGAGTAAGTTGTCTAGATCTATAAAATGTGTGTAAAAATAGAAAAGGCAACATCGAGAATCGATGAATCGTCACGAAAGTTTTGAACATGTGAGCTAAACTCCTGGGGCAATTAAGCGAAAAGTAGAGCCATCAAAATATCCAACGTTAGCTTCACCCCAGGGTTAGATATTTCGAGTTTTAAATCATAGAAAAATACTGATGATTTTTCTTGAAATTACTAAAACTGCAAAACATGATAACAATTTTAATATTAATATTATAAGTTAAAGACTTCATGCTATGAATATTACTATATAACATGAATATTATTTTTTATTACGAAAAATAAGATCTAATTTTTTAAAAAGTATATAGTCTACTACTCTATTTTTTTCTTTTTTAGAATTCATAATTGATTTCGTTATGATTATTTTAAAGATTAATTTTGTATCATATGTAAATAATTATTTTGTATTGTATCTTGCAATCTAGACACCGCCGAATTTTATGGAGATAAGAGAGAAAAAAATAGTCTATAGGTAACGGGACATCCAATAACGTGTTACTGTAAAAGTCAAGCCATATTGACCAGATTAGAGTTCTTCTTGGTCTATTTTCTTGAATGGGGACACCTCTATTTAAACGAATGAGTTAACATAAACATAACACAGTTCGGATAGAATTTTTATTTCCAATTTTGACGTAGCCGTATTTCTATTTAATCAAATTCTTTAACGTGTAAATCTCTATATCCGGGGCCCAGACAAAAGTACAGTTACGAACTATCCGAGTTCAAATTAACGAAGATTTCTTGTATATACACTCAATTAGTTTTATAGCTGAATATATTTATTTTTTACTTTATATTTTTTCATTTATTTAAATTTTTCTGTTGTGAATAGTAACTAAGTAACATTAAATGCTTGACCTAAAAAGAGTTTCATGTCATGAATTCCAAAAACGTAATAATATATTCGAGAAGCGATGCCGAGTATACTTTTGAAAAATCTAAGGTAATTAAGACTAGATCCGTTGGCGCACGGTCTTCATTTTTCTCATTTTCCAATTTCCCATTTATAACCTTTCAAACAGGTTAACTTGAATGAAAAAGAAAATCATTTCGAAATTGCTTCTATTCCTACTTTTTCTATATAGGCTATTTCAAAGTGTAGAAACACTTTGAAAAATTATTCTTATAAATATTACTTTTTATCACTGAAAAAATAAAATTTTGTTACTAATTTATTTCTATAATCGTAATTACTTATTCTTTTCGCTTTATTTAGTCTTTATGTACTAACATTATTTTCATGCAAATTATTATCATGTTCGATTGTTTAAATATCGTTGAAACTTAAACCTAATTAAAATATTAAGCACACATTCTCACGATTATGAATTGAAATGTCATTAACAAACTGTAATTTAAATGTTAAAAATATTTGCGAAAACCAAAATAAATTGTTTGCAATTGTTCAAGATGAAAAAGTAAGATCATTTTAATTTTTTTATTGTATTTAAGTCAGACAAAAATTGAGCACACTTTTTAAAATAAAAACATGAATTAAGTAGTTATTTATGTACTAATATAAATTTAAAAAATACGCGGTTATTATGTGTTTTTAAGAATTGTATGCGCCCTGAATTAAATAACGTTGAAACGAAAATTAGAAAATCGTAGATTTTAAAATGTTAACTATTAGGTTGATTATTCGAAAGATATGTTCCTACACAAAATAAGTCTTGATACAAACGTATTGTTCTTCGGTGTTTACATTTAAATTGATGTAATGTTTTCCTTATAAACGCTAACTCTGTCATTTTAACAGAAGCGTAATTCAAAACCTCACGTCTATATTTTTTATTGCATTAAAATTAGTACTTATTTCATAATATTTTAATACAGTACGATGAAGCAAACATTGGTAAATTAAACAATATAGATTAAGAGTTAAAATTAGACTAATTAAAATTCACTTAACAAATGTAAACTAATTACTAGCAAATTACGTTAGAAAAAGTTTTTAGTTTACTAAACACAATAATTATTTTAAGTGTCTTCGGTTTAAACTGTAATTCGGTTTGAACTTGCAAAGATTTAAAGCACTCAACTGTACTTAAACCTTTGATGAATTTATAAATGGAATTTGAAAACTGGTCGACCTTATGATTATATATTCACAATGTTGCCAGGTTTCATTCAGTTCCACACAACGATAAAGTTATACAGTTTTATTGTTAATAGTGGTATTGAATTACAATGTTATATATTGAATAATTATATCAGTTTTAAGTACATGAAATGTGATTAACTACTATAAATTTTATCTTTTTACACAAAAATTTTCAACAATTCAATAATAGAAACAACAATATTTTCCAAAGTAATCAGACAATATTAAGTTGCCTCATCCAAGGAATATGGATGGAATCGACCATACTAAGAATAATGGGTAATACAATGAGACCGTTGAACACTGAGAATATCATAACTAAAACAATTACTTTAAAAAATACAATTAACAAATAAGACGGTCCGAAAATGCAAACAAATGCTCCAATGACAGTAGATAAACATCCTTGAACAATCGGATATCCTATGCATTGCAAGGATTCTTTTATTTTTTCACTGGGATCTGTTTCTTTGCAATTTTTGTAAGCGTGAGCAATGTGCACCGAGTAATCAACACAAAATCCGGCGCTCATTATTAAAAACATCACAGAAATAATATTTAATCCCACATTCCATGCACTTCCATAACCCAAAGTTTCTACTTGAATACAAATAACAGTAAATAAAACAGCAATGCTGTAAGATATGTCAGAAATAAATGTAAAGAATATAACAAATACAGACAAAATAGCGATTCCTACGGCTTTCAAGTATATTGCAGGCATATTTAAATACTGATCGTACAATACAAACCACATGTTATAAACAAATACATCATATTTGCTCTCAGCTGCAATTTTACGTAATTCTTCGATTAAAGATTTTTCATCACGTCCGGTTCTGACATTGCGATATGCAAACAAACATCTCGAAGCTAAAATTTGATCACGATCCTTATTCCACAGGATATCATCTTCAAATATTCCATTGTAAAATTTTAAAAACACTTTTTTCAATCCGTCTAAAAATCCCTGCGTTGTATTTACATCAAAATCTTTAATCAAGTAATTTATTCTAGAATCACGAATATAAGACAAATATTCTCTCAACCAACATTCGGTATAATTGGGTCCAGTCATGTAAGGGGCACTTTCGAATGTTCTTAAGATGTTTTCTATGTCCATTTGAACGGATGAATTTGAATAATCTAGAGTTTGATTAAACACTAGCTGTACTGTAAGAGGATAATCGGTGAAATATTCATAATGCATTTTCGTATATTTCTCAGCGTAAGAATGGAATGGAAATATATCAGTGTAATCTAGTCCTTGTTTTATGGAATTAATATTATAAATTGCTCCTGTTAATAGACAAGTAAATGAAAATATTACTAATACTTTGATAAAGTTTTGGCTCAAAAAAGCACTTAATTTTTCGGGAAAACTTTTCGCTATCTTCATGATCTTCAGAATTTTTTCGATACTTGTCGAGTTTCTTTCTACAAAAAGTAAATTTTTGTTTAAGTATATTTGTAAAATAGTGATAAACTGATCGTAAACTTATATTTAATTTATCATATGTCTTTAAATATTCTGTTCAATTTTAATACAATAAATTCTGCTAATAGCTACAAAAATGTAAAATTTGATAATTGTACTCATTTTATACATAAATTTTACAAATATCTATTGTACCCAGTACAATAGATATTTGTAAAATTTATGTAAAATTAGACTATTATCTGATAGTTATGTTCATATTTAAATTAATTATTGTTACAACAACTTAAACTATATATTTTTGTGTTAAAAGACAAATAGTGATAGAAAATACTAGCGTTTTTTCATATTTCTTAAATTTTCTATATTTTTAAACCCATTTTTCGTTTTTATTCTTTTACTTTCTGTATTTGGTTTAGCAACAAAAGCAATATGAAAACAAATCAAGACAAACGAGTTCTTTTTCAAGTCATAAGATAAATAAATAATTTATCTATTTTATTGCTGTTTAATTTTTTTGCTGTTTTAACAATAATCAGTCATTCTTTCTAAACACGATTTTACATAATTGCTTTGCACGTAAAAGAATTATTTTTTGATATGTTTGTTTTTTATATTTTTAATACCTTTTAAATTCTGAAAATATTATATATGAAGCAACATTTTTTTGTAAAACATAAATAAACATATATTGTAGATTTTTCTTACGTGGAATAATTTTTTATAAATAAAAAATAAAATTCTTACCTGTCTCATCTGTACGAACACGATATAAAAGTAAGGAATGGAAATTTTGCTTTTCTCTGTAACCGTCGATTGCCATCACCGCACCAAAGAAAAATATTTGATAAATATAATCGAATAACACTGATATGGCACTATATATACTGAAGATACGAATGTTTCTATAAGGAGTTATAACTCCTAAAATGAATGATATAAAATTGGTTAATGAGGTTATCGTTATGGAAATACAAACATCAGAAAAGGTTTCACTCATTCTTTGTTTGACACTGTGATTCTTATCCGTTCGTCTCCACGCAGCCAACAATACGAAAGAATCATCCATTCCGATACCTGAATAAATATTTCTACTGAAACTTTTACTAAAATATATACAAAATGTCAGAATTTAACAGTATAAGAGTATAAAATATATGTAAACAAGCAAGTATGCCCGGAGGTGCAGAAACAAATGATAAGAATAAACATTAAAATTACTAGATTTTTTGTATTTCTAACTCTTCCATTATATTCCATTTTACTATTTGATTTATACAACTACAAACGATATCTTACGTTACAGTCTACAACTACAGAAAATTTTAAATTAAGTAATGTTGCCATGATAATAAAAAAGGAAAATAAAACATCGGCACAGAAAAAGACTTCGAGCTCTACTTTGTGCTTAAAATCGTTGCACGTACCGTACATTAGTTCGGTTGAACGTTAGAACATATTTCAGCGTTATCAGTAGGACGTTTGGGACAATGGGTTTATGAGTTATGATATAACACTTCTATTTCAGCTGCTGAGTAATGATATAGCCCCTCTATTTCGCACTATATCATTGTCGCAGTAATTAAGTGAACGTAATTGAACAAAATATATATATTTTGAAGTTATATGCTTTTTTATAAAAATTATATTCAGTTTATTAGTTTAGATTTTTTACCAATAGATAAAACTATGTGTCAACCAGAAAATCGAATGGAGATAGAAATTACGTGATTTACAGAAATCAAATAGATATTTGGGGGTGGGATGTTCGACATTATCTCGGGTATACAAACGAAACTGCCGAGTGTCGTAGAAATTCGTCGAACGGATTAGGCGTATAGAGCGAACAAACATCGAAACAAATCTTTAATCTTTATTCATGTTTCCGTGATACAATTTAACATTAAAAATTTATTTGTTTTGATTGTATAATATATTGTTCACTGTAGCGATACCTGAAACACTTCTAATGTTTTTCATATATAGAGTTACGATAATTCCAATAAAATTGTAGACTCCGCTGAAGCCTACAATATAAATGCCAGTATTATTTGTTTTTAATATGCTAAAAATCTCATAAAAGAAAATTTTCGTTAAGCTGGATCTCGAAAATGTGTCATCATCAATGTTTCATATAAAAATTTGGTTTTGCAAAATTTTAGTTTTACTATGGATCGTATGACATAAAGCAAAATACAGGACAACTCATATCTATATATACGTATATATATATATATATACAGTAGAACCTCGATTATCCGGACTAATTGGGGATGAAGGTAGTCCGGATAAGGAAAAATCCGGATAATCGAAACAAATACTTTAATTTGTCTTTTAATGATAATACAACACGTTTTCTTTTCGATGACATATCGGTAATATTAA